CATTCTGCATGATAAATGTGTTTTAATACAGGATTAATTTTGCTTTTTGATCATGTGATTGTGGAAACCATGAGTTTCTCAAATTAAACAATGCTTAACAATCTTAGCTAATGAGGTTGAAATATATTGTATAAAACCTTAACGGTTTGAAGAGAGCCATTTGACGGTAGAGATATGAAGCAACGATTAACGGAAAAGTACGCTTATACGATGTATGCAATAGCTTTGAATTTAGGAAAGCTTTAGTTCCTCTGAGAAAATTAAAACATCTCTCCTCGTGACCGCGCAGCCTCATGACTTATCTTTTTATGCGAGACTCAGGCACGTAAACAGACCAAAAAAAAAAGATTTGTGCTCGTATGCCCGTCTATTGCGTCCTATTTAGGTCGAAATTTTTAACAGTGAGTGGTCATACGATAAACTGCTTATTGAATGAGTTTGGTTGGGCCGAACGGGAAAATATTTGGTTCTCGGTCATGAAGCAAGGACCTCGTTGCGCTCCTACCACTCAATCAATAAGTATTTCGGTTTTGTACGTCACACTTTTATCACTCATGATGTAATTGAACATGAAAAATGAAAAGTGTTATTCTATTTTTAATGGGGAACGACAAGCTTAAGTGTTGAGTCTTTGAAAAGTATGATTTACATCACAAGATTGATCACAGCACAACCTAAGTCTCTTTCTTTAAACGGTAACCTATCATTGCGTACTCCTTGTCGTTGTGAACTTTTCATTTACCAGCGGAGGTGATTTGCATGATCGAAGCCAGAATTGCTAAAAAACTGAGTGACTGTATTTCGGTTTAGCACGTCACACTTTTCTGACTAATGATAGATTTTAGCGTCCAAAAATGAAACATCTTACTCTGTTTAACCAAAACACCAGGCATGAGTGTTCATCCCTTTTGGAACGATTGGATTTGCTTGACGAGATCGATGAGATCGAGAGTACAACTAAAGGTTCTGTCTTTAAACAGTAAGCTATCTGTGCGTGAAAATTGACTCATTGTACTCATGAACTTTTCATTTCCTTGTGGGTGTGATTCATAAATTAATAGTCTGCTTTTTCTCGAGACATGAGCCTGATGTCAGCCTCTACTAAAAATCAGTAACGAACATTCTGCGTTATGAATATGCCTTGATGTAGGATTGATTTTAGTTTTTAATCACCTAATTGTGGAAACCATCAGTTTTTCAAATTAAACAATGCTGAACAATCTTAGCTAATGAGGCTAGAATATATTGTATAAAACCCTTACGGTTTGAAGAAAGCAATTTTACGGTGAGGATATGAAGCATCCGATCAACGGAAAAGTACGTTTATAACATGTATGTAATAACAGTGAATTTAAGAAAGTTTCAGTTTCTCTTAATCAAAACATCTCCCTTCGTGAGCGTGCAGCGTCATAACTTATCTTCTTATGCGAGACTCAGGCGCTTAAACAGACAAGAAAACGGATTAAGGTGTTTAGAAAAATATGTACCGTAGAACCAGCCGCTAGTATCCAAAGATTTAAGAGAAGGGTATCTCGACCATGAAACGCTTGTGTACATGAAGAAAACGGAAATTCAATTCGAATCTACCGCGATCTCTGAATCGATTGCTAAATGCTCCTAAAAGAAAATCAAGTTAATAGCTGATGCAGATCATAGCCACTGGAAAACCATCTAATAAAGCACTACGGATTTCCTGGGAGTTGGACAGTCCACACCATAAATAGAGGTCTGAATTTAGTTTTATGATCATCAACTTCTCAAATTGAACGATATTCAATAACCATAATTAATGAAGATAAATTATACGGTTTGAAGCCACAGAGATTTGAAAAAGTCGTTGTAGAAACAATTTATTTCACTGTGGTGACGATTCAATCGCGCCATCAACCGCTTTAACGAATGGCTAACGCTCGAAACGTGACATATTGCAAACAGAAAGATCCAACAAAGCAGTTACTGGACTTTGCCATAAGAGCCTTACCTCGCTACAGTTACTAAATAACTAAAGCTGATAAAAACCGAGTGACTAGAAAAGATTTTCAATCGTACTTACCAAGATGTTGACAATGTGGCTGATGCTTTCAAAATGAAACAACAAAAATTATGAATTACTTTTCCCAACCTTCCGAACTTCCGCTGTCACAGTGTTTTAGGTATCCAGATCACGTGTGTTTAGGTTATTCCCTATCCCCTCTGGGCTAATCGAGATAAAAAGGGAAAGTTTTTAATTGCATATTTTTTGTGTGCCTATATGCCCGTCTATCGCGTCCCATATAGGTTGAAATTTTCAACAGTTAGTGGTCATATGATAAAATGCTTATTGACCGAATTTGGTGGGGCCAGTGGGGTAAATATTTGGCTCTGGGTCATGAAGAAAGGAATTCATTGCTCTCGGTCCGTAGGTCATGACCCCGAGCCAAATATTTTTCCGTCCGGCCCTACCACTCAATCAATAAGTACACAGTATTTCGATTTTGTACGTCACACTTTTATCACTCATTATGTAACTGAACATGAAAAATGAATTGTTATTCTTGTTTTTAAAGGAAATGTCAGGCTTTAGTGTTTATCCCTTTGAAAGGTTTGATTTTCAACAACCTAAGTTTTTTTTTTTTTAACGCGAAGCTATCTTTATGTCATAATCGACTCATTGTCTTTGTGAACTTTTCATTTTCTAGCGGGTATGATTTGCATGATCGAAGACAAAACTACTAAAAAAACCAAGTGACTGTATTTCGGTTTGGCACGTCACACTTTTATAACTAATGATGGTTATAAAATAATTGAGATAGTTCGCACGCTCTCATAGGTCAAAAAGTTAATTTAGATGAAAGTATGTAAACACAGCTTGTTTGCACTTTTAATGTTTGCCGGCACAATTTGAAAATATTTCAAACTCAAAGTTTTCCAAGTACTCGCAAAGTATTTTCAAGTACAAATAATATCGGAATTGGAGAAAAATGTGCCAATTTTTTATTTGGGGTTTGGCTACCTCCCCGATGAGGAACAAGAAGGAGGAAAAAGAGGAACTAGCACTTTGCCTGCCTTGATGATCAAAGTAAATTGATGAAACGAAAGTTTGAAAATTTTACAAGATTTTGTTGATAGTAACCTCAAATCAAAACTCACAAATTTTTTGTTACTGCCTTTGCTACATTATAAAAATGAAGAAGCAAAATTTCATAACTAGTTCAACTGTTCAATAAATAAGTTGTTAGTGTGGAAATTGAATATATAAGAAAATTCTAAATACTCTCTTTTATATTTCCAATATTGAATGTTAAAAGTTATGAGTCAAGAGAACAACACAGTTCTATACACTGAAATACTGTTTATTTCATCTAAGCAAAAACTACTTACACGAGTGGCGCAAACATGAACGTACGTCAAACTTCTGTGTCTTGAATACTAGTTTCCAGGTAAATTGTCCAATCCATATGCAGCCTTCAGACACTGTTATCAGTTACCCGTTAGGGAGCTCGGTGCATCAGATCGTAAGCTGAGCTTTCGTGCACAAATGTTTTAGACTGAGAGTCCAGGGGTTGCTTTGAAATGTTTTGAATCACCACCTCAAATGTATCATATTTGAGTTCCATTCATTTTCAAACCAACAGCGAAGAGAGATATGATGGAGAACACAGGAAAAGAATTAACCACGTCAGCTATCAACATAGGTTTAACTGTCGCCAATTTCCTTCTCAACACTGGTTTTGTTCTGCAAGCCATCCTGTTGTGCGAATAATGCTTGATTTTGCTAAATAGTGGAGATTTAACCAATGGTAATCCGGTTGCCAAACTATTTTATCAACTCATGAACAATTTAGGGAAAAGGGCGTGTTCGACAATATGTAATTGTATAAATATAGACTACTTCAGGCAACTGTTACTCTTATGTAAGGACTCTGATGGCAACGTCCAAAAGGAAAGGCTGAATTTAGCACTTTCTAAATAACTTCATGCTCAAAACAAGTTCGTTGAGGCTTGAAGATTTGATGAGGTGGCAATGAAAATCATGAAAATGACTGGAAATGCCGGTGGTACTTAGCCGTTGTAACAGTGCTCGTGGAAAAGTTAGAGCCGAGGGAGTTATTGGAATCGCACGAGCGTTCATAGGATCTACTGCTCGCTCAGCGTTAGCGCCACATTGGGCCCTGGACGACACAGCTACAGAGCAGTTCATAAATTGTTTCTACGGACACTTGTTCCACCGTGAATGTGTCAGTGAATCTCTGCACGAGGCTAGAAAGAGGATAGGGAATAACGGCTTTGCCGAAGTTTGTCATTAGGCTTCGTTCATGCTAACTGGCGACAACGTGAAATTTGACTTTTGAAATTGTCCGGTGCCCATTCCATACAAAAAGCCAGTAGGTCAAGTAAACCCACTTTATCAGAAAGTGCTGGGACTGAGCAAAGCTTGTAATTGTCGATCACCTTTCCTGGAAAACCGTCACTTCAAGTCTTGCTTCTCTGACTCGTGTAGATTTCTTGGCTCTAGTCATTTGATATAGATAATAAATTACTCATACGCGAGCCACTGCGATGACGAAATGTCATTTGCTACTTGAAATTCGAGAAGAACCATTTTGAGTGGCTTGGTCCTCAAACGGTGGCTGGGTGTTGAATTGTGCTGTCTTTTGTTTTCTTCGAATCCAGTTTTGAGGCTGTTAACAGATGTCTTCTTTGCGTGCAGAATCTCGATAAAGTGGTCGTGGCAGCTAAGAATATTTGACTCATCGTTAATATGGGATAAATAAATAAAATGCAGTTCTCTGTACGATTCAAAGACAACAGTGTACACGGGTAACTTATTTTTTTCGAGTGTATAATTAACTCCCATGAGAGACTAAGGCAGAATTTCTCCTAATAATATCAATACAGTATCAATCATATAGTTGATGAGAAAAAGAAAAATATAAATTTGGGGATAATTAGTTGATTAGCTGATACTAAATTCTTAGAACTAACATTATAAGAATTGTATAGTTGACAGTAAGGAGAATTACAAATTTGAACTGGGAGTTAAAGGGTTAAATTTTATTTGATCAAAAACATGAACAGCAATAGAGGAAATTAGCTAGCACAATTCAAGTTTCCCCTCTTAAGTATTCTGTGATGTTTTTTCTATCACATGGTAAAGTTTACAGTTTCCCTCATTTCACTGTCTTCTGTTGACTTGTTTGTTTGCTTTCCTAACAATCTTAGCTATTGTTGCTAACAAATGCAAGGAGTATATACATGAAAATGTGTACAGCTAATAACACTTTAATCCCTGAGAGTGACTAGCATCTAATTTCTCCATTCAATATCCCCCCTGAGTCACACATTTAGGTCACGAGAATAAAGGAAATGATAATCAACTGAAGAACCTCTTTGAGTAATTTGGAAATATCACTCCTCTAGTATATCCCAGATGCTCCTAGTAATCATGTTATTTCCTATAAAAATCCTTCTTGATCAATCAAAGTGATATATGAAGGAGATGTATGACTGTGTTGGTCATCAGAGCAGAAGAGAGAAAACTTTCTATCAACAAAGTGACATGCATACCAAATATAAATACTACCAAAGGCCTTTTGTTGTTACCTTGTGGAGCTGGACTTTATGGCCTTTACTCTACAATATATAGTACATCCAGACATTAAATTAACCTTAATTCTGACTAAAAAAATCTCATTGAAAAGATCCTAATTGAAAATCCTGCAATTTTTTTTGCAATCGAGGTTAAAGTAAGGGAAATTGATAATCACAGATATAGTGAATAAGGGTTACTTCTTAATGACAAAGACTTAAATCAGTCATAAAATGTACTTTTAATTTTTAAAGTCATCAAACTGCTCAGCTCATCCTTGTCTCGTTTTCCTCATGACTGTTTTAAATTGTTAAAAAAAAAAATTTGTGATTGAGTACATCAGCTATTGAATTGAAGTGCCTATTGTTTTCATCTGCCAAACTAAAAATTGTCCATGGTTATTTGAGTATTTTTGGACTGTTTTTCACTCTAGAAGTAGACACAGATACCGGTAGTAAAGGAAGTTTCCTATAGAAAAACCGGCAGCTACAGCACTTTAACGTAGCTGCACATGTTAATTTCCTTTTTTTCATGATGCTTTTTAAACTACCCCAATAAAAAATCTGTACATTTATTTTACTCAAATATAGAGAACTTCATTTCCATGATATTAACATATTTTCAATATCAACAGTGCTACAGCGTAGTATGCGAATAGGGCATGAAGCAAGAAGCCCCCAGAAAATGTGTTGACAGCAATTCACTCGCCAGCTCTATTCTGAGCTGAATGTGATTTGGCTCAAAAGATTATTCTGCAAGGAAAACAAAAATAGTGGTAATCAAGAGTGGAGAAGACAAAGGGTTGAAGAGGACATATCATTGACAACTTTCATCTCACACCATTGCTTTAAAGTCTCCCTACCTTAAGAAAGGAGGTAACCATTTTGTCTGTGAAACCATTGATTAGTTTTAAATCTTGTACCTGAAATTCAACACACAACATGAATGCTTTAGCACCAGCAGCCAGAGCTCCACGCAGATAGACCATATTTTGCCTCCACTACACAACCGAACACACAAAACAACACTTGGAAGCATGGGTGCATCAGTCAGTCAGGCCCAGGATACACTTAATTAACTCCCATGGAAAAACTCCACTGTTACCATGATTCTACGCACACACCATGGCTGGACATGTAAACCTGAAAAAACCAACTGTTGGAAAAATAGGGACCTTGTCACCCAAACCTATGCCATGGTGTTGCCTTTGGGGTTATAAGGCAAAACTAATAAAATAAAGCCTAATAACATGAATATGAGCAGAAAACAAGATGCCACCTAAAGTAGCTAAGAAAGATAGGGACCACTACAGATGGTAATGAGATTAAGGCTAACAGAGTAAGTGAAAACTAAACTAAACAAAGCAAGATGATGCAGCGAGGCCAACCATAGAATGACACACATAACTAACTGGTCACTATTTCAAACCCCCAAGTGCACTACACTAGAACCCAGGTCACTGTTCTGTGGTGGCAAAATTATAATTTATGTCAATTCTGATTTACACAAATTACATATGTAGGTAAAGAAATACCTTAGCTTTTGGTTGGTGGTGTATGTAATACTTTCTTTGAAACATAAACATCTCACACAGTTTGTTATCCACCAAGTTTCTTTATCAACATTTATTTTGTTATCCAAAATTTATCACGAAATAACCTACTAATCAGGATACAAAAACATGTGAAAAGCTGTTCAGCTACGCAGCTTACCTGCTGCAATGGCCCATATTCTCTTCTCCAATTCATTATGAGTTCTGCTCGCTTTTGACCCACACCTTGAAGTGTTTTCAACTCTATTATGGTACCATCATTCAGAACCTTCAGAATTTTGTTTCCTGTTGCCCAAAAAACAAAAAAAGAATAAGAATGATAAGCACAGGCCCAGAGAGGAAGGGAACTAACTAACAGACAGAGTGAACATTAAAATTCTTGCTTCCAGACAGTCTAAGCATATCTAGATGTCTGTTGTTTTTTGAGAGGCTATACTGTAGAAGTTCACAGATGAACCGTTGACACTTCATCAAGCTGACCATTGGCTAGTATGAATTTTGCATTATGAGCAGCGAGAGACATTTTAAGAGTTAAGAATCTCAGTGCCCAAGAACATACCACAGTTTCCCAAAGACCTATCATTAGTATCCCTGCCCTGGCCAGTGCAGATTAGTTATCAAGTGTATTTTAGGATTGCTCTGGAAAACTAGGGCTATTCTCTATATCACTCTAGTGCATTGTTAAAACAAACCCCGCCTGACAGTCACTCACTTTTTCCTGCACTTCCAGGAATTTTCTTAATGCCTTCGCTGACACTGAATCTGAATGCACTCTTTACATAACCATTCACAACTGATTAGGAATAAAAATTTGACCCTTACTATGTGCCTCTTGGAAGTGAGGGTTAATCTTGACCTTTAAATTTTCATCCACAGTCAACATGGTTTTCTGTCACAATAAATATATAGACATGTAAATATGTTTATATTACTAAATGGTACTAATACTATCGCACTGTACCCAATACGCTTATAATAATAATAATACTTTATTCAGATACATATATGCTCATAAACATGATACATATTTGTTGTACCACGGGGTTATCCCTATAAAAGGTCTCCTAACTGAACTTTAAAAATATTAAAAAATTATTTAAAAAATGCACGTAAAATCATTAGTGCAAGTACAAAATGGTATAGTAAGAATTATATTTAAGATGAAAATATATACAATTAAATATGAGCTTCTGTGTCAATAAATCTTCATCCATCTTTTTAAGTCTTTTTCAATTTGTTAATGCTAATTTTGTCAGTGAAGAGATGGTTTGGCAAACTGCTCCAGTCTCTGATGATTCAAAGACGCTTAAATTAAAAATTAAGTTTACTTTTGTGATCCAAAGTCAGAAAATGAGGCTATCTTGTCTACATTCCAACTTCAAATGATACAGTTTTTCACTTTCTCATGTGCCTACATTGCTTTTTTCAGTACTTTCTTGTGTTTTGAGGGAATGCTAAGAATATTGAGTGTATATTGCAAATGGACATTTGACATGTGAGGCCACTGGAGACTTCTTATTGTAAAATTCATGCTGCTTGTTGTAAGTGCTGACTAAGTTATGAAACATTTCTAAATAAAAGAGTAGAGAAGCTACAATCCATCAAAAATTTGGTGTTTGAAAACAACAAAAGCATTCGAGACAACTTGAGAAGAGGTTGATAATACCTATACTACATCCATAAAGTCACATTTGTTGCTTACCTGATGACTGCACTGTGTGGATTTAACAAGAGCACTATTTGAAGTCCTGGGTGACTCTGGCGAAAACAACATACATACGAATTGGCTTGTTTATGTCTGTTAGAGGCTTAGTAATAAGACCAGAAGCTTGTTGAGAGGATGGGAGTTTTTGCTCTGCAGTTTGTCCTGAGGAGGACCCCCCCCCCCAACAAAAAAAAAGCAAAAAACTAAATAACAGTTGGACTGGTTGGACTAGGAAAAATAAATCAGGATGGCTGAGGTAATACACAGCCTTTCCTGAGTTTATTATGATATTTTACATGGCTTGTGATTGAAAACTTTGTTTCAGATTTACAATTAACAAGTCATTCAATCACAATATATCTTATTTTGTTCTTCTCAGGAAAAATTATTTTTGGTCTTCTGGACTTTCCATGACGAACACTCAAACTTCTTAACTTTCCAGGCCTTGAAAGTGTTACTGGAAATTCCATGACTACAAGGTTTTCCAAGACTGTACTATGACTGTTATGCTACTAATGAGTTGTGAACAGTTTAGACCAAAAGAAATAACACAGTAAGGGTGCCTTTGATAAGGGCGGGATCTCCTTATATTAAGCTCGTCCGCTGACCTTTTGTCACATTGATGTCAGATAGCACTGTCGTCCTTGTCAAAGTCTGTCCAGCAGCTAATTTTTCTAGAGCAGCCAAATGATCATGTATCTTCCCCTGCTCAACTCTAAGAGGACTGAAAGATTCAATGCTTTAATCTGGGAATGTTTCTTTAGCATACAAATTTTAAAATTCTATAAATTCACAAAGATGGCATAAACATTCACAAAAGCAGTAAACCAGTAGTTTTAAAGACTTACCTAAGGATTTCGGCAGGGATGGTGAGCTTTTGTGGTTCAAGAATTGGCTTTCTGATAGGCTGCACATACAGTCAGTGAAAAGAAGAGAAAGCAAATTGAGACATGAAGAGGTTATCAATCATGTTTTTTAATACTCTATATGAAAAAATACTACTTAGGAATAGTTTCTATTCTTGCGCACAATTTTTTTAACCCCATTTGAAGTCTTCAGTTTTTATCTGGCATTTTTTGGCAACACATGTTAATCCTGCAAACCAGCACATTGTGTAAACCCTGCCAACTCATTTTAACAAGAGAAAATGAACTTTGAATTATGGTGAACATTAAACTTTCAGTGTTGAATCAAATGACATGACTTTCACTAAAATGATGTAGAGTCACTGAAAAGTCATCCCAAACAATCATTATCTCTAATTTTTAGCTTATTTACATAAAACTGCCATTAAGACAGCATGCCAGGTCAAAATTGTCAAGAAAATCAAATAAAAGAGACTTGCAGTGATTTTTTTAATCTTATTCATTTACTTATTGAGTTATTTTTTCAGAAAAGTTTTCACCTTTGAAAGCTCATGTGTTGCTGAAGAATCATCCATCTTGTGTCGTTTAGCCTACAGAATAATTTGACTAATTAACTACATTCGTTCCAGTAAAGTTGAAAAAGTTAAAACAATCAACTCTTCCTCAGAAAATATTGACAATAAACTCTTCCGAGTTGCAACCTTCTTGTATGTTTTAAAAGGCATTTGTCACACAGCAGGCAGCCTTCCTAATGCTGTGGCTGTGGCACTGGTACAAGAATATTGTTCATAAATGACAGATCTATCATTGCTACCTTTGGCTTCAAACAGTTCCCAGCCATCTGTCTGTGCACCAGGATAATTCAAGCGTCATACTCTGACTCTGTTCATGTTTTTCAACTCAACAATTTGACATAGTGAAATTGAACTCTGTGCATACCTGACTCAGAGGTAAAGCCACATCTCTATATCTCTTATGGGCCAACGACTTGCCTGAAAAAGGAAAATGGGACAACAATGGTGTAAGAATCAAAAGCCTTAAATCTGAGAAAGATAAACAACATCAGAGTGGAGAAGTCTACAATTGATTGGTTGCACCATAATTGCGCCTGCAGGCTATGAATCAGGAACACTACAAAGACTTCTTGAAGAAGCTTTGCCACTTAATTTCCAGCAACAGCTGTGATGTAACACTAAAGTAGTAAACCACAAAAGAATGAATATGGTTACAGATGGAGAGTCAGAGGGCTTTATTATCTTTACTTCAATGTTACATATAAGTAGGATCATTTATTGCAGCATATATAACATCTATGATCATGGCCTGCAGAAAAAAAGAGGTCAAATAACGCAAACTAAACACAGGAGTTTTACTGAGTTGAGAGATTTTGATCCAACACTCACCAATTGTTCTTCTGACAAATGGCTGGTTAACTATAGTTCTTGACTTGGAAGCAAAGTTCAGAGTGTTAACCGTATCTGCATAGAACCTCATTTCAGGTGCAATGTTGGCAATCATACAAGAATGTGCTGAACCACCGAGTGAGTCCTAATGGGTTAATCAGACAGATAAGAAAGATAGAACTTTTAAGATAACTATTAAAACTTAAAATTTGAATGGAAAGGTTAAAATGCTCCCACTGATAGTAAATGGTCTTTCTGGAGAAAATGGTCCAACTGGTAGAAATGATATAGCTAGAGAAAGCGGTCCAATTGGTTAAAATGGTCCTATCAAATAAAAGATCCAACCAGATAAAATGGTCCTACCACTTAAAAATGGTCTCACAAGATTTATTGGTTGTTACGATGAAAATGGTTTTACTGCTAAGAGTGCTGCAACTGATACAAGTGGCCTATTTAAAGAAAATGTTCCAACTGGTTAAAATTATCCAAGTAAATAAAATGATCAAACCAGAAAATGGTCTCTATGGTTTGTAGAACTTCAAACAAACATAATTCAAGACTCTTCAAGCACTTGTAAGGAACAAAAAATAGTTTTCAAGGACCAAGTGTTAATCAAGAAACTGAAACTCTTTAATGCCTTTTTTGTACTAAAACACACAGCTAAGTTGTTTACAATTTTGAGATAGTACAGGCTTTACTTTACAGTTACTGTGTTAAATGGTCCAACCAGTCAAAATGGCCTAACTACATTAAATGGTCAATGTGGTAGTAAATAGGTTTATTTTGGCCTTATTGTTTCTCTAAATGGGCTATTATTTAACCAAAGATGATAATAATTCAGATGTGGAATATTCATGTAATGAGGTTTTCATACCTGAAGAAGGCGTGTTAATTTGCTGTTCCTGTAGGGTACCTGACACTATGTAAAAAAAAATGCTGTCTTATGATTGAACTGAGAAAAACGCGAAAGCTTGAAATATTTCTGCAGTGATTTTTTCATGACATACTTTGAATTGCAGTTGTTTTGACTTTGAGTTATTTTGCTGATGACCACTTAGCTTAAGTGTCTTAGCTTATGTCTCAGGTCATTGCACTAGGGTCCTATAGGTTGTTTTGCTAATTTTTTAAAGTTATTTATCCAACTTCTCTTTTAAATGTTATCTTTGAAGAAGCACCTAGCTGCACTTTGGGGCACTTTGGTTTATTGTACCATATGCACATGAAAACCTCCAAATTTATGCCTTACTTTGTATGGAAATGACTTGAGTTGTATCAAATTGATTTGCTACATGTATCAAATGTACTTTGTTGATGTATTGAATTGACTTCAGTTTGTCTTTGTAACAAATAGATTCCAAGTTGCTGTGCATCTGTTCAGTAATAGATCACAGTTGACATCAAAATGTGGTAAGAACAAAAAAGTGGCACATGAGGCGCAGCCGGGTGTGTCACTGATGCTCTTACCACATTTTGTTGTCCTCTGTGATCTATTACTGAACAGATGCACGGCAACTTGGAATCTATTTGTTTTGTATAATAAAGAATTAAGATATACAGAAAAAAAAGTTTTAATGATGACATTATCTATACGTCTGTCCTCCAATAGATCATAAGTGAGAACCAATCAGAATGCGTGCATAACTGAGCTTATTATATGAAATTGAATGGTTACCCATACTTTAGGCGTTGATGATTTTCTGAGTTTGAAAGAAACTCTTCAATTGTTTCTTCAAACTTCATATGATTAAAAATCAAAATTTCTCAGCAGTGTTATAGTTAGCTATTTCAAGCTATCCTTTGCCACTTATCAATTTTCAATTTCAACTGTGCCTTTTTGTGGAATTTCTCAATCTGATTCTGACCAGGAGTTATTAAAACCCTCCTAAATTCTTTTATACAGTTCTATATTTTATACAGAACTGTTCCAAACCTACCAAACCCTGGTTCAAGGCATCAACAACCTGTCCAAGAGCAAACAATGAGCTGTTGATTGCACCACTTTCTTTCAACCTACAGGTAGGAGAAAGTTGTTTTCTCATAAGTGCCAGGTATGTAAGTAAAAATCAATGGGAACACAAGAAAAGCTCCAAATGTAAAACAGAGAGAGAAACTAGAGAAAGATTTTGTCTTGTCATGAGTATGGGACAAAGAAAATATTCTGAGTCCTTATGAAGAATCTAACCCCAGACCTTTCAGATTTCACGCTCTTATGCTCTACCACTGAGCCATAGAGACTCTATAGTGAGCAAGGCCATTACAAAGTTCATATGTGACAGACGCCCTGCATATTGCTTAGAAGGATCAGTAGTGTCATTAGCATCATGTTTGTAAATAGAATAAGTAGAATAAGAAGGAGGGTAGATTTTGGGCTTTATGAAGAAATTGAGACAGACATTTTACCTTTAGTCACAATTAAGTGTGGAACAAGGAAAAATTCTGAATCTCCAATTGGGGAATAATAATAATCAACTTTATTTTTTTGAGGGTGGCACTTGACAGTATAAAATACTGATAAATTCGTGGCCCTCAAAAACAAAGCAATAAACACAAATACAAATAAATAATGACAGAAGTAATTAAGACTACCGTAATTTCCGGTCGTTTACCCGCGGGTAATCTGTTGATTTTGCATTAAACGCGCGCCACTGCGGGCAATAGGGAGGTGCGGGTTATGTGACAATTTTAAAATCCAGTGGTAGTTGAATTGAAAAAAAAAATATCACCAACATGCGTTTCCACCTCTCAAGTAAATTTTATTGTGTTATTAGTGCCGCAAAGCGGCACGAAAACATGATGCCGACTCGAGTTTATTTCACGCATAATTAGTTGCGCGACGAACAAATTATTATCGGCACGCGTGAAAACAAAACCTTGATGGTGACAAAAAATATCCATAGATATCCGGCGCATTAGTAACAAATTTCCATTTAACACTAGCTTGAGATAAAGAGAATTTTCCCGTTTTAAGGGACTTGTTAGGCCCAATAGAACCGGAGATATCGATTTTTTCAGAAATCGCCGACAGTACTTTATAATTCAAGTTTTAATACTCACCCAGCTTTTTTTCAACAAATCAACATGGCGCTGAACAATCGCTCGCACAAAATGTGGCCACAAATTCGCATTCTGTCAAGTATGAAACGTTGAGATTTGGGCATGGGCCGCTAGTGTTTTTACTGTATAATCTTATCAATAAAGTACATGCTAATATTGACACAGAATTGTGCACGCGTCTGAATTTCTTTGACCTTAAAACTCGACAAAGAAAGTTTTCGAAAGTTGGATCAGACAACTTTTATAAGACTGAAATGTATCACCTTAATGTCACGTTTTCGCCACCAAAAAGTTGAATAACAACGTGCGGGTTATCCACCAGAGCGGGTAAACTGTTGACTTTTTTTTTCGCCGTATGCAATAATCGGCCGGTGCGGGTAATCGGCCGTGCGGGTAAACGACCGGAAATTACGGTAGGTGATTAAACAATTACAATATGAATCATCTAGGGGTTAATATAAAGTATATGAGAATAAAATAGAATAGCCTAAGCTATCGTAAAGTGATGAACATCTTTATAGTAGTCCAAAAAATACTTATATAAAGACTTCTTTAAAATTTCTAAACTAGAGCTACTCTTAATTTCATTGGGAAGTGAATTCCAAAACCTTAAGTGGCTGATACTTGAAAAGTCCTAGCACCTTCTGATTCTCAAGGAGAATCAAACCTCAAAATTTTAGTGAGAAAAACATCCAACTCCACTTTCACATTAAATGATTAGATAAATCACTGAGAAATAAGGCAAGGTTATTTCAAGAAATAATGGGATGATCTTCAAAGTTAAGCGCACAAATCTGAATTGTGTTAAAGAAATATATGATTCATTTAACCCTTTAAGTCCCAGAGGTGATTAACCACAAACTTCTTCCTTTATTATTCATACATTATCCAGCAAACATGCAATAAGAATACTCAAAAATGTCAGCTCAAAGTTATCTTCAACTAACACCAAAAACTGGTAACTAATTTAAAAGGAAGTGTGTAGCAGCTAGAGGGGAAAATTGACAATCAGATCAGGGGAGTTGAAGGGTTAATACACAAATTCATATCCACCTCTTTTACTGTAACAGTACAGTCATAAAATGATGTGATCCTGACATTACTGGCCTCACGGTTTAGTTGGCCAGAGCTTCACATTGGGAACATGAGCTGACAGTGTTAAATTCTCTCAACAATTGTTTTGGAGTTACTCATGCTCAGTTTGTCTGATTCACTGAAAAGATAGTTTCCTCATTCCATTTCTCTACTGACATTCAAAATTATGATTCATCACAAACACACTTCAGCATAAAAGTACCTTATTCCTTCATTCCCAGTTTTTCTGTTGTCCTCTGATCCTGCCAGGTCAATAAGATGAAACTTACCAATGAGTTTTGTGACTGGAGCCACCTGTTTGTGTTTTTGAACCTGAAAAGAATCATGATAAAGAAAAATTTGCAAGTTATTGATATTGTCCTCATTTATTCATTTGGTTCCGTTAATTCACAATTCAGTTACTGATTCATAACATTTTACAATGCAAATTAGTCAGAAGATACAGAAGATAATACAAGGGCATGACCTAGGGTGCTCATATCTAAAAGTACCTGTATCAACACAATAGAATGGCTTCTGCTTGATTGTGGATTCAACTTTGTTGCTGCAGTTTTTCTGAGAGAGGATAAGCACAAAATTACTGAATATAATTATAGTGCTCAACCTTTGAAGAATATCCCCTACCTTAGTTCAAAGTAGCCTCTAGTAACAGTAAGTATGGACAGTGTCACAGTAACATGCCTTAACATCACACTCTATCATTTTCTGGTGGTCATGATGCCAGATAATATTTAAAAGTTATCTGATAGTGACTGTGAAGATCATGTTCAAGAATACTAAAGAGATCACCCATGGGGAATGGCAGGGTAACTGCTTCATACATATTGACAGCTTAATACAAGTTCTACAGAATAGGGAGGTTATAACAAAATATGCCATTTCATTCCATGATTTACCTCTCAGTACACGAAAACTTGCTCAAAAATACAACTAGCATTGATTTTAAGAGATAGACGTAGGTTACACTTTCCTTGAAAGATTAGTCTCAGTTTTATTTGAATGGATCCACTTTGAATGACTGTTCAACACAGGTGGAAGAGAATACAGAAAGGCCATTGGGACTCGGTAAAGGGTGACCAGGACCACTTAATACAGGCGACCACTTCATAGAGGTGAAAATTACTGTTAGAAAGGGGACAAACCAATTGTGACTTTGACAACTAACCACTTAAAAGAGGGTGACTGCTTTATGTGGTGCAGCTTAATTCAGGTTCAACGGTGTTAAATAATACCTATTAAATAACAGAAATACGAACCTTTGGTGGCTGGCTTTTATGAACAAGGACATAAACTCACCCAGTGTTTCTATTTCCATCTGGAATAAATAAGATTATTTAAAATTGGCAAATCTTTTGGCTTGCAAAAAATATTCAGGTATATAGCCTAGCAATTTGCCACAATACAGAATATTACTAAAATTGTTATTTAAATTCTTCCAATCAGGTCTCTCACAAACACCCTAGTGCAAACCAGGTAATGAATTTACAAATTTACTGAAATATTTTGTGAGCCTTAGACAAAGCCAAGAGATGTTGGAACAGATGCAACCTATGAAACATATTTTATTAACATGTACTATACATACACTAACAGGTAAATTGTAAGCAATCCTAAGTGTACACTCAAAGTTGAAATACTAACTTATATTCATCACCTTTTTTTGCAAAATTGAAAAAATTATATTTACCTCTGTCAAATTTGGGATGAAGATATTTTGTTGCTGGTCTTGTCTTATCAGTAAATCATCCTTATTGAGATCTAACAAGTCTTTAATCTAACATGAAGGAAAGTATATCACATATCGATACTACTCACAGCAAAAAACAAATGACCATTATTTTAATTTGAAGACAAGTGATTAGTAGTTACATGCAAGGGGTATGTATACATGTAGCTATAGTAGTTAGAGGGCTTCTGAGTGAGCAAGCAAGCAAAATACATCCTAGAGAAACCAGGGGTGTAATGTTCTATTTGAGCTGCTGAACCAAATTAAATTGGAGACAAAATTTGTCATTAGATATGCAGCAGAAATGCAATTAGATGTTAATTTAAACATTATAACCTCAAAGGGAGCAATCACATTGCCAAGCTTATTAAGTCTTGCACACACAAGTTGAATCTTTTGAGGTCATTATACTTTTCACCAACCACAGCCAGAATTGCTTTTTTCATTTTCCCAGATTTCAGTCAGATGTTTTTCAACTCCTCAAGTACGTATATCATCAACAATAATTACATCTGTGTACTAATAAATTTTGCCTACCTTCTCTTGGTATATTTCAAGATATGAAAACAAAACTTTGTATTTCCATGGAACAGTTGGATCCTGGTGGTGAGTATCTATCAGTTTGAACAGTTCAGCAGCACACCTTGGTATTAACCCTATCAGAATTAGAACAATTGTACTACTAGTTATGGTAGAAGTGATAAGTGTTTTTTACTCTGAATTTAGGAACTTTAAGCAATGTAATATCTCTTTTTGAGTAAGGAACATAAGCATACTGTGTCTGTTTCCCCTCACTCACTCCTTCCCATTCCAATGTATGAGATTTAACTCTGATAAACAATGCATCAGAGTTAATGAAAGTTGGTACACACAAAGCACAAGCATGTTTGACCAATAAATAAGTTTTACAAAATTTATCTCAGCCAAACAAAATGCTCTACACATTACATATGCTTGTAAATACCCTTGCTAAACAAGTTCAAGGTCTTTACCATAAATATGGACCAACTTTTTGCCACTTTGATTTCTGGCCAAAGCACGAGGTACGCAGGCCATAAACCCGGGTGGAGTAAAAAACAAGTTACAATACAGACTGAGAAATCAAGGTTAGTAAGGTGTTATTACATCTCTGGGTTAAAATAATGGAGAAGATCTCAGTTCAAACAAACTTTTTATCTTTATAGACTGTGCAGTGAAATATGAACTGCAAAATTGACTGATAAGAGCACACCTCCTATATATACCTGAGAGATGTAACCATGGTCAGAATTACAAGAGTACAACAATTGCGAATCAGAGACCTAGTCTATAGCATAGCTAGTTATCTTAAGAAGAACTGCGTAGGGTTTAAAGCCTTGCAGGAGACTAGGAGTTTTTTCTTTGTACCCCACTTAACGTAAATGTGAAAAAGTTCTTTGTTTACCACAGAGTTGTTATAAATGATACTCAGTGTCTTTATACTCACCTGGTTCATCTGGTGAGCCAACCATTGTGTGTGTTTTCCCTTCAGTTAGTGGGAAAGATTAAAACAAGGAAATATTCAGGCTTTTTGCCACTTCTCATAGCACATGTCTGTTTACTTTCCTCAGAGCACTTAACCTCTGTTCAAACAAACTTGAACTCTGCTAAATCACTAGTAGGTGGGAGCTTATCATTGACAGTTTTTTTTTCGTTTGGATCTCTCTCTGTCAAAAATTCAATTGTGGGAAGAACTATGAATCTCTTGGAAAAGGAAAACCCATTTAAATAATAACAACATTAAAGTGCTTCCACTAAATGGTTCTTCACCTTCTAATCTACTACCAGTAACAATAATAATAGTAATAAAGATATTTTAATCAATCCTAGCTATTAAAAAATCAAACATGATTGGTTATCACTGTCCAATTTCAGCACCAATAGACAGTGCACATGTCATATGAGCATGCAGTTGTATTGAGTTGACTGAGGTTTTTCTTTTTTTTCAGTTGAAAACCTATAACTGATGATTGGTTCATTCCTAAATTTTGTCATAGTTTTGACTAATTGTAAACATGGTTTTGTGTCATTAAATTCTGTCTGTAATCATACTTGTAATTGACAGGTCGGATTTCCACATTAAGGTCATCAGATTTTCTCTATCACTTGTATGATTCCAGACAGAATTGGACTTCACTCAGACCTATTACCATTGCAAGCAGGGCACCCACAGCATTCCGGTTTACAGCAGGCCAGTTGTAATTAATATTTACAATACAATATTCTTATACTATTTACAACAAATAAATGTAATTAGCTTGTCATCCTAACGACCATGTTCTGTACCTTGCATACATAAAAGCTGCGTTACCAAACAGTGTGCATGTACCTTTTCCTGCTAATTTGTTGATGAACTCTTTCTGATAGCAGAAAATACATGTAGAGTCATCAAAATATTCAAATGAACCGCATAACAGTTTTCCTACTTCAGGTTTAGTTTGACATACTTGTTAAGGAACAGCAGATGTTCGTTTGTTTATTCGCCTGTCTATACATAAAAACTTTCCATACCTGCTCCAGTAGGACCGTAAGCAAACACACTGGCATTTTGTCCTTGTAACATCAAGGGAATCAATGGACAAACTGAGTTGTGGTAAATTTTTTCCTGAGTGCTGTCTTCGTCAAAAAACTTATGAAAACTAAAACAGATAGCAGGCAATATTACCACAAGGCGAGGAGTTCCGATTTATTATTAGAGTCAAGACACATGAAAAACAGAGTTCTCAGAGAGATAAACGAACTGCTTCACTCATACTCTCCTCCTGTCAGTTCATGACTGTACAATGCAAGTATGTTTGTGAAGTTAATGACTGACTTGAATTGTTACAGTATCCGAGTTTTTAGTCCAAGCAATGATCCCAAGAGTGCAGAACCAGATGAGCAGGTGACCTCGCCTTTGCTGACTCTAAGATCACTTTGATGAAGATCTTCACAGGTCGATCGACACATACAGATCATTATATATACCGAGCTATTGAGGTTTTTATGACATGATCTGCAGATATCCGCATAATTTTACTCCCTAAATACTCACCGGTATCGAATTGACTCTTCAGAATTTCTGCAGTTCCAAAGCTCTAGTGTGGAGGAATCAACTGCGCGAACACAGCGCTTCGGAATTCCATCGCTATTGCTTTCCTCTTTATATTGTGAATGTTCTGGTCGTAAGCGTACAAGCACTTGGACTTTACATGCCTTTTTTAACTCAGTCATATTGGCCATAAACTCAGATCAGCTTATATGCTTCACAAACAGCCGCGTTGATCGAAGGTAAACTCAAAGAAAAATAACAAAACACAGCCGCTTCTCTTTTAATTTTCAAAGTTGCGAGCGAAATGCTAATATTTTCGCATCGTCCAATCACGAACTCTGTTTAGTCCTCCCGGTCATTGATTACCAGAGGCCGACGTTTCCGCTGAGAGGGAAGAGTTTTTGTGGCCTGCTTGTGCAACGTCCTAGGACTTGCACGGGCATGAATTGAAAGGAAAAAAGTTAGATGAAAATATACTGAGGCAAGGGAGATATTACGTACTGAATAAAGGTCACTAAAGGAAGGAGTGGCGATGATTTAGAAAGTGACTTGTGGGGCACAGGTTTAGGTTTTATAGGTAAATGGAATGGAGGGAAATTCGGATCAATTTGGTTCCTTGGGCATTTTATTTTAATTTCAACGATGTCAAAAACATTGCCGGCGACTTTTATTTTTCCTTTCCTTTGTCCCACGTTGGAAATTGTGAGTTTGCATGTGTCTCTAACAAACCAAAGCACCGCAACTGATTCGTAGCCCGCTATTGTTACGCCGTTGTTGGAGTGTAAAATTTGCAAATTGCACATATTGCTTTTTAACATATCAAGACGCATTGACTTTGAATGATACGATCGCTGATTACAACGTTGGTGTAATTCCGCTCTAATCTTTTCCCTTCCTTGCCATCTCGTCCCTTCTGGGAAGGAGAAACTATTTTCTCTCCAGATAGAGGTAATTTTCATGACAGTTTGCATACCACAACAAGCGACCCGAAATATGTTGCCAACGTAATGATAATAGGACCAACGTTGAGAAAAGTGAAAGCAGTTCAAAGGATAAAAACATGCATTTTGCTTTGAAATTAAATATCCTTGGCCAAGACAAACTTCCTTTCACTATGGAGATAACACTGTCATTCCCAATGACGAAGGTCTCTTGACCCTCAATCATCTTTTGATCAGTGGCGTAGCCATGGGTACGAAAATGGGACCCAGCTGCGCCAATCTTTTCGTAAGTTTAATCGAACACCAATTTGACCTTTAGGAAACAACATCGGTGTACATGTTTTATCAATCATTCGAGATAGTATCCGAAATCTGTGTCAATCGCGGCTACATCGCGCATTTAGACTCCTGTCAAGTTGAACAAATCAAAAGCCTTTTAAGCCTTTACCTTTCATTCTTTTGAAAAACTAGCGTCATGAATGTATTTACTGTGTGCACCCTACCGTCTAAGCGGATAGCCTGTTTTAAAGAAATCACTTTACTAATACCTATGGACCCTTATCTGCACATGACCATGAAGTTACACCTCGCACGAAAAAAGATCCCCAAAGCATCAAAGATGAAATTTTTTTTTCTTGAGCAATCAACGATAACGTTTCTTGATCAATCCTTTCATTTAAAGTGTCTGGTTTCAAATGCAGTTTTTAAAGTTCCTCCGATCGCAACAGAAAGGAAAATTGCCAAGTTGCCAAATTGCCCAACCACGTCCCAACCTTAATGCCCCCACCACCTACAATTATCCAAATGTCACAGACTCTCAGTGATTTTACTCAATCATTTTATTAAATCATTACATTGCAAATTTAATCATTCTCTGCTAAGATAAAAGTTCGCTTTTCATCTGTTTCACTTTCCCGTTCCGGGGGGGCCTTCTATGGGAGCACACTCGTATATGCCACAGGATCCACAACAAGCTTTGCATCGTTTATCTTCTGGGCAAGGACGCGGGAAGAAATCGCAAATGTTTAAGCCACACATGATTCCATTGCAGGGCCCACAGCCTGTACGTATGCAAGTTATAAAGAAGAATTGAAAAGAGTCGGCGAAAGATGATTTTTTCGTCTTGTCGCGAGCGTGAGATAAACGCTCATCCCACGCTCTTGACAAGACTAACAAGCATCTTTTGCTATTTCTTTACCGAGCTCAAAGTAAACCGTCTTTCTTATGCTATTCTCTCTTATTCGCATTTTTTTAGAATGCATTGAAATCGATGGTTTAACCGGTCATCAATACTGCATTAAAGTTGTAACATGCAATCCTAGGATTCAATGTTTAAGCAATCCTGTCTCCCGAGCCATTATTCCATGCCTTCGGGCCGACATCAGTTGCAGATAAAGAAAAAAATTGGCATGGTTGTTACAGACCATGAATTGAACGGCACAGTTTACTTGAAATAGCTTAAAATGTGTATAAGCCCTCATCATTCTTCTTTGGTCCATTACGATCACTCAGTATTAAGTTGTATCAAAGTAGAGAGACTCGGTTCAACGTCATAAAATCTACAAAGTGACGTGCCCTGATATTGCAAATACGAACTGATCTACGTCCTCAGTTAAGTATCCGTGTAAACTGTAAAGCCTCGCTGACAAGTAGAAAGGTCGGCATAGAATATTAAACACACAAAAAAATAAACTCTTACTTGCCACCTCTCCACATTTCACCTGGTGGAAAAAGTAAAAATTTAGTCAGAGGGCCAACGTTACAAATTAAGTTTGGTAAGTAAACTGATACAGGTAAGTGAGTGTTCTATCATTCACAACAGATAATGAAACCTAGCTTCCGCGTTCCCTTAAACGGATAAAAGATCTTAAGTTCCAGGAGAATTAGGTGGGGATTCGCCGCTACTAACGAAGCGGCTATAAGTTTAACGTGCTTCAACTGATCTGCCGAGTGTCTGGGTTGCGTGTGAATCAAGCGAATAAAGTTCTGCTCAATTTTGCGCTCTCTCGAGCTCAGGAAAAAGAACATATGGGCATACCTTTGTCTACCTCCACATTCATTAATTTCAATTCGAAAAAAAATAGTCTAAATTAGTTCTTCTAAAGCACACCCCTTTACAGCTGTATGGATGCAATTGCCGGTTAAACTATATTAGTTATGGTCGTCATAGAACTTCTAAGAAAACTAATAAAAAATCGGTTTGCATTGATTCAACAAGCTGAAGAACAGCAACAGCAAAATGGCATCTATCTTTGAACTAAGAAACTACTAACTTCACCCTCTCACAATTTACATCTCATTCACAATATTGACATCTTTTGATCGGTCATTCTTGTTAAATGCATCACTAAGCTTTCTCATCAGTTTTATTTCATCGTTGCTACTCATGAGTAACTTTCCCCTCCCTATGCATAATTTCCTACCCCTACCCTCAGAAGAAAATGTTCGAAAGGGACAGAATAAGTGAGTTATAAATTGTGTGCCCAAAGTACAGGTATTGACCAACCTCTCCACTGTAGAAGCTCAAGATAGCCAAAACACCCAGGAAAATCGACAACTTCATATTCCCACCTGGAATAAAGTATATTACTGTTACCTGACTCGGTCAACCTCAAAGGAGAACCTTGGAAAATTTGTGATAGTCTACATATATTTACTCACCAATTTAAGAGCGACTCAATGTTAGTGCTGTGAGGATGCTATTAGTGATGATAGCTATAAGACTGGACAGCAATGATCTTCTCTTAGCTCTACCTTTCCTATTCGTGAATGTACTGTTTTGCAAGTTAAATGCCTTAAAAAAAACAGCTGAGAACATAGTGATGCATAATATCTTTCTGAAAGCGGCCAAACAAGAATGAATAAATGAATGATTTTCAATTTTTGTCTGAGTACTGTATTTTCAGTAATTACAATGGCCACAAAAGGACAAAACAAATCATGTAGCCTCTTGTTGATCGTAAAGAACGACGTGATCCTAGCAAGTGAGATACTGACTGGCCTTTAGGCACGATTGATAATTGAAAGCTTTCGAAATGGAAGACAATTTGCGATTAAAGATTTACTCAGCTGAATAAATGTAAATTATCTTATGCTATTAAATCTTAAGATAAACAACACTGTATCGAAATGTCTACTAGATAAACTTCTTCCTCCCTTTTAAAAAAAACGTCACAAAATTGTCAAGATTATTATTGAAAGATTTGCATAACCACAAAAAAGTGTAGAAGTGGGGATTTTGTCAGAATATCTTGCTGCTTACAATAGGTTAGTCTAAGATGGTGGCTAAGCACTGTAGGTGAAATATTCTTTTATGAAATTGTATACCCAACTCTCAGATGTGGTTTACCTCTTAGCGACATTCAATTGATTGATAAAATTCCAGGGAGTTAGTGGTGATAGCCTAGCTGTGGTTGTTCGGCCATTCGGCTGGTTACACACTGAATACATAAGTTGACGGTTTGATGATTGAGTGATATTCACTTGACTCAAACAATCGAAAAAAAATATTGTTCAAAAGATTAAAAAGTGATCATTAATTCGTTCTTGTAAAAAAAAGACACGAAAAAGAAACTTGCTTCGATATTATGATGAAAATAACAGCTACATTCTTTGAAAAGTAGTGTATAGAAATACTCAGTGTGTGTGTATTATTCTTGTCTTCTTGTGCCGCCCCGGCCACGCAATACGTTCGCAATAGGTTCGTCCGAGATTTCTCGTTTGTCCTTCACAGTTGCCGACGTGTCTACACAGTTGTCTACGTCACAGCAACGTGAAATGATCGTTTTGGCTGCGCGCTTGATGAGGACACTTTTTGGCCACAAAATCGTACTTTGAATGCGCAAAAAATGGTTAAGGAGAGCTCGCTAGGCGTTAAGGTCGATTATTTCTAAATTAAATACAGCTATCAACCAGAAAATGCAAAGAACATTTTCGTATCATTAAGGATGACTATGTGTTCCACACTGCCGGTTAAAAACAAAGAAACGTTCTGTTCATTTATCAATAATTGATCCCTTTTTCGCCCACACGCCTTATCCTAAATCTAACTCTTGATTCTATTACAAAGATAACAAGAACTTTCCAAACAACTTTGTTAAAAGCCATCAAGTAATCAGTGCTGTTTCAGCGTCAGATGCAAATTTGATAAAAGTAAAAAGTCTATACAAACGAAAAGCTGTCTCCTGGCATGTTTGCATCTTCAGTGATGATCTGACGACAGCGTAGCCAGCGGAGTTTTTGTGCGCGAAGGGTTAGTCGTGCTACAACTGAAATGAATGGCCAGAGAAATCTATACAGCCACTCCTGTCAACAAGGCAAGAACC